CTGGACTGGCCTTTGACAAAGTACCACACAGAAGACTCATCCACAAAGTGGACAGCCAGAGGGGAAAAGACGATGTATTGTGCTGAATTCGAGATTGTGTCAGTCAATGGAATGTACTCTAGCACCAAAAAAGTGACAAGCGGAGTACCTAAGGAAGAGTTCTAGGACCAGTACTTTTCCTCATCTACATCAATGATATACCCAAACTTGTTGATTGATAACACCTTTTAAATGTTTGCTGATAACCCTGGACAGGGTTTAGAAGTGGACGGATATATTGCTAATGGAACTTAATGTAGATAAATGTAAACACCTGAAAATAAATCAACATTGGCAAAGAGTAGACCACAACTTCATACCGATGTTTCCAAATGTATGTCAGAAGATGCATCAACAGAAGCAATGTGGTACTGGATTTAAAAAAAACCAGTAGACCTGGGTAAAATATTGAATACCGTAAAAGTGATTGGCCCTTTTAACAAATATCAACTATATATTTTGTAATCAGACTTACTTATTTTCTAGAAAAAAACATGTTTTAACCTATTGCTACTAACAATGTTAATCTTGGTTTTACCCTAAAAAAACGTTTTTATCTAACTAGTTGCTTCAAATAGTCTGGCCCCAAAATGGCCGTCGACTGGCCGTACAAAAGACAAGAGATACCAGAGCCCACCATCGTTTGATCTTTATTTGATCTATGAATGTTGGATATTTCCCCTTATTTCTCTTCTGTTTTTTTGCTCTTTCCTTTGCAGAAATAGCGATGATAGTCTTTACCTGCCATTTCCAACGTGGTCGCCTGTAAGCCACTTTTTTAATGATCAGTCCCATAATTAAACGGATACAAGTAGAGACCAAAGTGAACACACCCGTGAAACTTAAGAGAGATCTATTAAGTATTTCTTAAGAAATACGGACAACAATCTTTACCTGGCAAAATCCAAGATGGCCGCCTGTCGGCCTTTTTGCCTTTCTGATCAGACCTAAAATCAAATGGGCACAACTAGGGACATAAGGGAACCAACGTATAAAGATTGAGAGAGATCCATTCATTACTTCTTAACAAATAAGGATAACAAACTTTACCTAGCAAAATCCAAGATGGCTGCCTTTCCGACATCTTATTTTTTGAACTAAAGATTAAGAAGAACCTATAAATGAAATTTTAGAAAGATCTATGCAGTATTCCTCAAGAAATAGCGATAACAATCTTTCAAAGTCAAAACCCAAGATGGCCGCCTGTAGGCCATTTTGTTTCCTGATCAGTACCAAAATCAAACCGGCAAAACTAGGTATCAAGAAAAACATACACAAGAAATCTGAGAAAGATCTATGCTGTAGTCCCTGATCAGTCCCAAAATCAGATGGGCACATCTAGGAACCATGGAGAATCTACATAAGAAATTTGAGAGAAATCCATCATGTATTTTTCAAGTAATAGCTATAACTAACTTTCAAAATCAAAATAGAAGATGGCTACCGGTCAGCCATTGTGTTTTCCTGATACGTCCAAAAATCAAACGGGCACAACAAAGGACGAAGGGGAACATTCATATGAAATTTGAGATGATTTATCCTGTACTTCTCAAGAAATAGTGATAACAAAAATTGTTTATGGACGGACCACAAACGTAGGGCGATTTGAATAGCCCGCCTCCTGCTGATTGTGTGCTTATAAATAAAAACAATCAACCAATCAACCCATCTTCCATTTTTCTTCTCTTTAGGTCCCTGGCACCACTAACGAGTCAAAGAGATGTATGATGAGGTTTAAGTCATTGTTTATCAACTGTACTATTTCTTATTGCAATGTGCTATATATTGGTTTGTCGTTTTTACAGCAGTAGTCCACATGCATGCCACATTCCAACTTAAATGAACATGCATTTAACATTCTTTTGAGATTCAAATCAACTATAGATTTAACAGGGCAGTTCATCTACTCTTCAACATTTCATCATTTGGCAATTACTTTGTCCTAAATGGTCTTCCAGATTCCAAGAATTAGAGCATTTAGTAATGAGCATATGTGCAAGTGAGGAAGGCTATATGGATTTGCCAATGGTCTAATCATCCATGGACACCACCTTCAGAAGACCGTAGCTGTTGCAAGGACATACATTTCTAGCGTCACTTAGGAGTTTTTAGCTGATTGTATGGTGTCAGTGTCTTGTAGAATTGTGTATATTGAATGTTGGTGTCTATTGTATGATTTGTTCCGAAAATTCAATGGCATCATCAAAGTACACCCCCTCCAAAAAAACCCACAAAAAACCCTTAATACTCAAGTTTTTCCCTCATCAGTTGAAAATCTTATTTTCAGAGTTAGTCTCCAGTTATTCTTGTTTTTCCCCCATTTAACTCAGCATTCCTAATTCGAAACAAAAGGAACCGTTAGAAACTGGAAAATAGGTTTTCCATTTCAACTGAACAATGTAGAAAACAACAATCCATTAAAAATCTAAGAATTCTGGGAACACAGTTATTTCATTTGACCAAATTCTTAGCAGTCAAATCGTTACACAAACAATATCTAGAGGGTAAATCAGGGAAACACATTTCCCTCCACATCAAATCTTCGTATCAGTTTAACACATTTTGAGGTGCATCATTTTCGTTATCAAAGTGGTCTTATCCCGAACTTTTACTGTAAACATTGTTCAGTGTACTTCCTTTGATGTGATAATAACTAATCAGATCCGATAATACACGTTTTCTGTGTACGATCAAAATTTACTTGTATGAAGCATCCATTACTGAGGTAAGGACCCAAGGTTCTGAAAACTTACTTTTACCTGTGTACACTCATTACTGAGGTAAGGACCCAAGGTCCAGAAAACTTACTTTTACCTGTGTACACTCATTACTGAGGTAAGGACCCAAGGTTCTGAAAACTTACTTTTACCTGTGTACACTCATTACTGAGGTAAGGACCCAAGGTCCAGAAAACTTACTTTTACCTGTGTACATTCATTACTGAGGTAAGGACCCAAGGTCCAGAAACCCTACTTTTACCTGTGTACATTCATTACTGAGGTAAGGACCCAAGGTTCAGGAAAACTTACTTTTACATGTGTACACTCATTACTGAGGTAAGGACCCAAGGTCCAGAAACCCTACTTTTACATGTGTACATTCATTACTGAGGTAAGGACCCAAGGTCCAGAAACCCTACTTTTACCTGTGTACACTCATTACTGAGGTAAGGACCCAAGTCCAGAAAACTTACTTTTACCTGTGTACACTCATTACTGAGGTAAGGACCCAAGGTTCTGAAAACCTACTTTTACCTGTGTACACTCATTACTGAGGTAAGGACCCAAGGTTCTGAAAACCTACTTTTACCTGTGTACACTCATTACTGAGGTAAGGGCCCAAGGTCCAGAAAACTTACTTTTACATGTGTACACTCATTACTGAGGTAAGGACCCAAGGTCCAGAAAACTTACTTTTACCTGTGTACACTCATTACTGAGGTAAGGGCCCAAGGTCCAGAAACCCTACTTTTACCTGTGTACACTCATTACTGAGGTAAGGACCCAAGGTCCAGAAAACTTACTTTTACATGTGTACACTCATTACTGAGGTAAGGACCCAAGGTCCAGAAAACCTACTTTTACCTGTGTACATTCATTACTGAGGTAAGGACCAAAGGTCCAGAAACCCTACTTTTACCTGTGTACACTCATTACTGAGGTAAGGACCCAAGGTCCAGAAACCCTACTTTTACCTGTGTACACTCATTACTGAGGTAAGGACCCAAGGTCCAGAAACCCTACTTTTACATGAGTACATCCATTACTGAGGTAAGGGCCCAAGGTTCTGAAAACTTACTTTTACCTGTGTACACTCATTACTGAGGTAAGGACCCAAGGTTCTGAAAACTTACTTTTACCTGTGTACACTCATTACTGAGGTAAGGACCCAAGGTCCAGAAAACTTACTTTTACCTGTGTACACTCATTACTGAGGTAAGGACCCAAGGTTCTGAAAACTTACTTTTACCTGTGTACACTCATTACTGAGGTAAGGACCCAAGGTCCAGAAAACTTACTTTTACCTGTGTACATTCATTACTGAGGTAAGGACCCAAGGTCCAGAAACCCTACTTTTACCTGTGTACATTCATTACTGAGGTAAGGACCCAAGGTTCAGGAAAACTTACTTTTACATGTGTACACTCATTACTGAGGTAAGGACCCAAGGTCCAGAAACCCTACTTTTACCTGTGTACACTCATTACTGAGGTAAGGACCCAAGGTCCAGAAAAGTTACTTTTACCTGTGTACACTCATTACTGAGGTAAGGACCCAAGGTCCAGAAACCCTACTTTTACCTGTGTACACTCATTACTGAGGTAAGGACCCAAGGTCCAGAAACCCTACTTTTACATGAGTACATTCATTACTGAGGTAAGGGCCCAAGGTCCAGAAAACCTACTTTTACCTGTGTACACTCATTACTGAGGTAAGGACCCAAGGTCCAGAAAACTTACTTTTACACGTGTACATTCATTACCGAAGTAAAGACCAAAAGTTCAGAAAAACTTACTTTTACCTGTGTACATGCATATAATGTAAGTAACTCATGTATGCCATATGTATATGCTTACCTCAATATCTTGATAGTTCAAATTGTTAATTCAATTTCACATCTTAAAGGATTATTATAAACAATTCCATGCTTTATCTAACACGACTCTTGCATTTTTGCATCAAACACTTGTTTGATTATGACCAATATGGAATTAATTTTTGATGTTTCCTTACTTCATACAGCCTTTTACTTGATACACCAAAACATTAAGATCATCTTGTCATCTTGTTACTGTTTTTTAAAAACTACCCGATATTAATGTTTTTGATGCTTCTTATGTTAGAAAAGTGAACAATTTAGAAGTTTGATTTGATATAGGCCATTTAGGATAATGTGTATGTACATATGGATGTCGGATAGAGCTCGGGAACATTTGTATACAAAAATACAAAGGCAATTCATATGAAATAATGGATTTATTTCACACATGTAACCCTCAGAAATAACATGTTATTCACCAAGTAAGAAATAACACTACTTCAAACACCAGTAATGTTGAAACTTATTTTCTTTCTAATTATCCTATAAAAATTGTAATATTATAATTCAGTTATTTTCCACTTAAAGCTGATTTAACACTGAGTGCTAAAAGAAGATCAATTTGTCGGCATGAAATGTACAATATCAACAAATAAGAAAATGAATACACACCTGGCTATGTACATTGTATGTACTGCAGATTCCACCTGAGGCTAGCAATACATCTGTGGGACAAGATTTCCCAGTTATATGTTAGATGAGAGCATTTTCTGTTCTCGATACCTTGGTAATATTTCTATACTATTTACAGTTGAAATGTAACTGGAATTTTTTACTACAAGGAAAATTTCAAAATAAATTATTATTAAAATGCAAACAATTGATTCAGTCTTTAAAATCACAAACCAGTACAGTTCTATGGAGACTATGATGTTCTTTAAGATGAAAGGCTGTACTGTATTTCGATTCCATACACATCACTCATATACAGAAAAACTAAATAAAGTACCAAGCAAATAAATGACTTTTAACAGGATATACACAGTTTATTTACAGTTTTGCATAACTGGTAGTGATCTGTACAATACAGGTACAAACATTACAAACACATTTACCACAAAAACATCAGCAAACCAAACACTGGTCTGCAGCTTATATAATAAAAGGTTATAAATAAAGGAAATTTAAAAGGTCAGTAAGTAGTTGTGTAGATGTAATGGAGTATTGTATTTTAGTTAGAATAAAGACAGCAAAACACTTGCTAAATTTTCTGGCTACCAATACATCTTTGTGATTTATACATAGATTTGGTAAAGCAAAGTTTTTTAAAGTCCTATTTTTCAGGGTGAGAGAATGATGTAGTGTTGCCAAAACTGAGATTCAATTAGAGTTACCAAAGCTAGTATTTCATTGAGCACACAAAATCTGTTAGCTAGTGCCTGACTCCTTATGAAAGAATACATAGAGGTAAAGCAAGCTGTTGTGTACAAAAATAAATACATGCATATTCTCAAGTTCTGTCACAATATCACAACCTCTACATCCACTAAATACCTGAAGACAGGGCATTTCAATCAATCCTGAATAAATTATATACCATGTATATGCCTTGAAGATAGGGGATAGTTGTAACTTAAACAATTTTCTTTTTCCAAAGAAATCTACTGACAGAGAAATATGATTGCTATTTCATTAGTTGCTTATTAACAAAAAATGAGACATATTTCAGTGCTGTCATCACAAGGAAATATTAAACATAAAACATAAAACTACATAAAGAAAACTATGTATATTTATACACTCTTTATTCCATGATTAATATTTCATATATTATCTAAAATTTACAAAGCAAAATACCTCATAATTTCAAAAGCAAAGTTTACATAACACCCAACAAATACAGTTAACAATTAATCAAAAAATATATCTAGTATATGCACATGTTCAAGCCATACTCACACATACATTGTTTCTATAAAGGAGAATAACTTTCAGCTAAATCTATCAAATGAAGCTAAATTTCTCTTCCTCTTCCATTTTAAATGTGAAATTTTCATGTTCCATCTGCAGTTTGAAATCAAACAGCATTCTTTCACCATTTGCCTTTTGAGTCAGCCATCTAAGGATCAGGATCTAACCTCTCATTTTTTTATATCTACTTACTTTGGGTTTTCAATTAATACCTGGTTAATCAACACTCTACTGACAACACTACTTTTCATTGTAATAATAGTCTATTCAAATTTGTTGACAAATCCTTGTTTATTTGAAGTATGTTTAGGACGGAATTGTAACCAAGACTAAAACTGCCTATATAGTGATATAAACTGCAGACCTAAGACAGGTTTTTAAGTTGCTTGATTTCATGTGAAATTGAATCTGATATTCGATTTATACTCACCTTGCTTATCGTTGGTATTACACAAGATTGTCATAGAACAATGATTTCTCCATCCTTAAATGCCTTTGCATTATAAAATAAATAACATCAGAGAACAAAGATAATTTAGGCTATTAAAAATATAACGTTTTGTGGCTGGTTGGAGTTAGCTGGGTATGTAGTTTATAACTACCTCAGAATGAAGTTGTTATTGAAATGAGTTATAGTACCTATGCTGAGGTGTTTAAAACTAAGCCCCTTGATACAATGTACAGATCAATATGCTCCACTTATGTAAATTTGTGCCTACAGCAGACAATTAAGATAGATCTTATTACAATTGAGAAACAATGCAAATGCAACTACACATTTAGTACATGGTAAAATGTACTGATCATCCATAAACATGCAAACAAAACAAGAAAGAAAGGCTGTTCCACTCAAATCAATAACATTAATACTGTTTAAAAATTACTAGATTCTTTAGCTGTGATATCAACATGTGTAAAAAAGTCAAACACAGGAGTCATGAGGATAAAATTGTTACTGGAATCTAATTAATATCCTTTCTCTGTTGCAAAAATAAATATTTCATAAACCATAAAGGGGGATAACTAAGAATTCATATCCACAGTATTGTCAAAGTTTAGAATACAATGTAGATTATCTTCCAACAAATTTGAGCCATGTAAGACTGAGGGTTATTTTTCTTACAGATGTGAGTGCATCACTGAGCAAACATTTGTTTTATTCTACATGTGGAACATTCATCAGCTATGTCATATACACTGAATAATTGACCATCAACGAAATGATTAATTTATTTATCAAACCAGGGTTTAGAAATTCCAGTCTCAATTACAAATTGTAATAGATATGATTTTAAAATTAACCTGATATCAACACTTAACTTCAAGGCACACAAAATTTTCAATACTCAATACACAAAGAAATCTGATGGGAAAAGGTTAACTAAGGTGCAAAGATGTAAACACCTGTAATATCAATCTGATAAAACATCCCAATGTTCTACTTAATTCAACTTTTCATTTCTTACAATCAGTCTTTCATTTTCACAATAAAAATGTAACAGAAATTGAAAGTAATCTGTTAGTAAAAAAGTTATAAATTAAAACAGCCATACCCATTAAATATGATAAACTGTGTTCACTCAAACACTATTGTTAAATGTAACAATGCCATTTCATTTTACTTGTAAGTTCTCAGCCATTTGTCTTCAGCAACCAAAACAACAAGGATTAAAATATGTCTTAAAAATAATTGTACATCTGTCAGACATGGGAATCGTTCCTTTTTTTCTCTCCACATTATGGCTTTCGTTGGACAGTATATAAAAGTATAGATGAACAGTGCATTACTTGTTTTAATCTAGAAAGTTTTCAATGACATATAACAATGTTTATTATAAAAACAAAACAAATAAACAGTACATAGAGGAATGTGATATAATATTTGTGTGCAAAATCACCGTGTCATCAATTATAAATGTTTAATACAATCTCACCAATCTTCACAGGAAGAAATACACTAAAAAAAACCCCACACTATTTTGCAACAAAATTTTAAAATACACATCCTTCACAAATCCATGCGTATTGTTGATACATGCATCTAGAAATATAACTATTACCTAGAATTATAGCCTTTTTTAAAATGGCACCAAAATAGTTTAATTTTATGAAATGTCTTCTTCAAGCCTTAACAATAAATAGGATTTCATTAAAAACAATAAATCTACTGTAAATATCATACCATAAGAACCAATGAATTTTCTCCTCTGACATATTTCCAGCAATAGGATGTTGTGTATGTATACTAAAACAGCATTACCAAGGAGTAGGTTTGTCTAGACACGAGTCACAACTTACAGCGAGTCTGCCACATGCAATCTTACTATACAAAATGTACACACTTCTGCTTAAGTTTGAAGAAAACCTTATTGAAGTTGATACAGAAAGACATTTATTTAGATTTGTTCAAGCATATAACATCTAACAATTTATACAAATTGAAAAAAAAATTCTTCCATTCATGATAAATTAAAATCTTCCATTCTAGCTGACAGGAAATGGGATATTTACCAGTGTAAGTATATACAAAGATGCTTAACAGAAAGAACATCAAAACATCATCCAGGGCAGCAAACTTGACAAGTTAGCCTAATTACAAAAATATTTGCCAAACTATGCCCTTTTTCTTCTATTACAAGTTTCTATCCCTATAATTTCCATGTTTCTTTTGTCTCTTATCATTAAGACATTTGACCTCTGATTTAGCAATTATGCAGTAATAGCTGTTTTAACAAATTAAATCAATTTCTTGTAAACTTTTTTAACTTATTGTAAGCAGAATTTACATCAAACGAATTCCAATATCCCTTTCAGACATTGAAATTCCGATAGCTATAAAGGTTCCAAAATGCAAAGCACAGGACACCGGAGAAAGAAATGTGTGTGGTGTCCTTATCCTGTGAAGTGACTGCACATTGTTTTCAATTCCTGACATCCAACTTGTTCCATCTCATGTGTCCCGTATTGAATAATGATGGAGAGAAAGACATAGAGTATCCATTAGTCAGTTACACCAATTAATGATCACCCTCAAACCAAGGTCATACCAAGGTCATATAGTTTTTTCCAGACTCTAGTCTACCTTCACAACACTGTAAATTTTGGATGTGAACCAGAAACAGGCAAAGAAACCAATGGCTCCTGAAAATAAAAATGAGATAACAGTGAGATTACATTTTGTCTTTATAATCCCGATACAATCTTCCGCTAATCTTGCAGTAAGAGTTGTTAATGAGTAACTGACCTTGAAATTAAGTCGGAGACAATATCAACATGTGAGGAAACAGGATAAATGGTGTATGTTTATATACGTCAATTATTAGAAGAACATGAAGATCAACATCACTGTTGCGAGATTTAAAGTAAAAGATGACTGTAAGACGTGAATGCCTCTGCTCCCATGTATATTTCTAATGAACTAGCAGTATTTGTTGAATGTGACCTTTGAATAACTTGATGTTATGATACTACAGGATAAATATGAACCAAATCTGTTAAGAGGATATCAAGATATGATAGCTATTCAGAATGGGATTTAACAGGACAGAATTGGACAGACCAACAGACATAAGCAGTACTACACAGCAGTATGTCTTTCTCAAAAACATCTTTGCAGTATTTAAGGATGAATAAATACATTTGAAACCAAATTTTTTTCCTTCCGTTTTTCTTTCCTTTCTTCAATCTATCGGAATATAAGGTACCAATTGTAGATTTATCGATGTCATCTAGTAATTGTTTCTTACCTGTAGTCAAGAAGAAAGCAAAGACCATGATGAAGGTGTATCCAAAGTAGAGCATTGTACTGGCTGTATCATGGATCTCCAGTTTAGACACAAAATAATGAATGCAGTAAGCAAACAAGTAAACAGCAGTGAATCCACTGGTCAGAAATGATCGCCACCACCAGTGATAGTCCTGCAACATAAGAGATTTTAATCATTAAGAAAAAAGTTTAAATTATATGAAATTTAAGAATTCCTCAACAGAAATAGCAATGATCTTTTTTATCAAATAGATGGCTGCTTGTAAGCCATTTTGTTTTTTTGATCAGTCTCAAAGTCAAAAGGGCACACAAGGGACCAAGTGGAACCCACATATGAAATTTAAGAAAGGTTCACTGAGTCCTTCTCAAGAAATAACAATCTCCATAGTCAAACTCCAAGATAACCACCTGTCACCCATTTTGTTTCTTCAATCAGTCCCAAAATCAAAGCCGCCAATCAGAGATCATGGGAAACCAACATATATTTGGGAAAGAACCATCTAGTTCTCAAGAACTTTAAATTTCAATATCAATAAAGCAAGAGTTGAGGAGCCAAAATATTTCTAACCAAGAGCTGCACAGACACTAATTTCAATTCTAAAAGTAGTATGTGCATCATGTAGACAGCAAAACAGGATTAAAGCAATGGTACAATATAAAGATAACTCTTGTCTATCAGAAAATCAGAGAAAACAAAATAAACTTCTTAGAATACAGTTAACTGGATCAAGTTTGCAAAGTTCCTATTATAAGAAGCACAATTACACAACATAAGATCAAAATAGTTGATACAAAATCATTAGCTACAAATAATGGTGATACCAAGGATGTACTTTCTGTTGTGATAATCATGCATTTTAACATTTCTGGAAAATCTACACAATTGTGAATGGTGACAATTTTAGCAGAGATAGGTATAAATTTTCCAACAGGTGTAAGCTCTTGTATTTTAGTACAAGTCAATCCTTAAATGCACTCACCTCTGCACAGAGATGGAAATAACACAGCAAGATGGTGGCCTCTGAACAGGTGACAAGGAGGATAATAAACACCAGGAATAGAAATCCGAACATGTAGTAAGTCTGCTGCGACCTGTAACCACAAATCATAATTTATATAACACAACATTAACTGTCCACGTGTGACATTAAAGTGTATATTACTTTAGAGACATTGATGGGAATTGATTCCAGTTTAATAATTGGTAATTAAAAATACATAATTGACTGATTATCAATTGTAATCAGTTTCATTCATCTACTACAAACAATTTCAAGTTGTTCATCCTGTATTGCAAATACGGAAAATTTTTCATATCAATACTTTGAATCTGTTATTCTACAGGTACTGGTATTTTCTACATAAGAAATAGTATGGCATTCTTCTTGTAATTCCAAGTGCAAATAATACCAAACCAAGCAAATATATATAAATACCTCACAAAGATGAAAAGTTCAATATACTCACCATATACTGTTGAGAATGAAGAAGAGCTGAATGAAGATGCAGCCGAAGGGAAGAACTCCACCCATTATAATACCAGGTATAGGTTGAGTGTAGAAAGACTGATCAGGGATCTGGCGTGGAATCTGGTTTGTCCTTACTGGATGTTCGATGGCCTAAATTACCAAAATTTGTATTCTTACAGATGAATGCAAAAATTGGAGAAGGATTAACTCCGCAGACTTATTACTATTATCAAACATTAGCACAATGAAGCTTTAACAGACAAGAATCTTCAAATATAAGCCAAAGATATTTCCTCTTAAAAAATAAAGAATTTTCACATCTAAACCAATTAGTGAAGTGAAACCATTAATCTGAATACCCAACATATTTGCGCAGATTGTAACCTTTGACCTCCTGCACCTATATTGAATATAATGATTTTATAATTTCATAAATGTAAATTGCTTAAGTATAAAATGAAGCCTTACCCTCTTCTTATAGCCAAAGTAAGCTCCAACAAAGGTAAGTGGTACTGATATACCAAACCAGAGGGCAAGGAGAGCAATGAGTGTGGAGAAGGGGATGGCTGCACTGCTGCCTTTAGCCCACAGGATGAGGTTCATCAGGAAAAACACCCCAAACACAATGCTGTCAAACAAGCAGAATAGTTAGAGTAAATTGTTTTTATTTCTCTCAAAAATTCACGGTTGATTTTCATGGACATTTCATATTGATATCATTCTAGTAAATTCATGTAACAATAACTTTTTTTCATAGGCACAAATTTTAAGACTTACCCTGGACAGAACAGTGCTGTGATGATGACATTTGATTTCCACTTCTCCCCTCCAAACACTGAAACATTAAACATGTAAATGATTGTTTAAAGCTTTATCACTCAATACTATTAACCTTACATTACAAAGTGCTTGTTTCTCATTTCTATTACAGTTTTGCTGGAAAGAAAAAATATCATCTCTTTACTGCAAACCTTGAAATTTGCAAACAATAATAGTGGTAAAATTAGGTATAAAGGCAATATCAATCCCTTTGATCAAACGATGGTGATTACAATTACCAACTTTCAGTTTCTACTTGGGGAGATAATAAAGACACTGATGACATTCATGCTAAAAAGTCTGTTGTGTTTGGTTGTGATTTATTATATGATCCTTAAACAAGCATTTTAATTTTGAAATAATCACAACTGTTTATTCTAGGTTTAAACTTCAGCACACATATTTCATTCAAATACTAACTTCATGCTAGCAGATATATTTTTTTTATACATCATTGAATTACAGTTTCACTTTACGATCAGTTACAGATACAATATGTGCTACACTGATTGACTTACTTTTGTAAATCCTGGCTGAAACATAACCAGCTGGTGTTCCCAAGCACACATAAAGCACCTAAGATAAAAACAAGAACAAAATTATCACAGTTATTACCAATTTAGTCAATTTGTCTGCTGAAAGATTGTGTATATCAACCTCAACATAATAATTGTGCATGAAAAAAGAACAATTCCTAAAATATCTTATTTTAAATATTGTTTCAAATTATCTTGAAGATTTTCAATATAATGCAAAGCTTTATAGAGCGTTTTTTGAAATGCAGAATCAGCTTATAAGTTCAATAGTTCAAGCCAACATATTGACTATTCTTCTATCAGGACTCAGACGGAAACTTGTGTACTAATCACTCTATTTCATCAAACTTTTTCCTAAAAAAGTAGAATTACCAAACGTCATCAGCTCTTTAAACAACTTCATTGTCTCCGTCATCAAAATATTTACAAATAAACTGACAAAGACTGCTTTCCACTTTTTCCATGTTCAACTACTTTTTCCAAACAACAGAATTCATCAGATAGTACCAACTCCTTTACTGTCAACTACCTGATGCTAAAGAGCATAATCAATAAAAACATCTTTACTACCTGCCTGTCACCTAATTTATCAAAACAATCACTTTCTAACACGTGGTGGGAGATATAAAATATAAATAGTAGAGACAGCGAAAGAGGGGTCAAGGTGGCTGAGTGGTTCACACGTCTCATTGTCACTCGCCCTCCACATTTGGGTTGCAGGTTCAAGGCGTAAAAGGGCCAGTTGCCCAGTACTGAGTGCAGGTTGATGTTTTTCTACTTTCCTCCATCACCTTAACCAATCATGTCCTTAAATGATCTGGTCTGTTAATAGGACATGAAGCAACAATAAATAATATTATGAGGATAGAAAGATTAACAGGGCTCACCATGGCACAAGTCATCAGAGCTCCTCTGTTGGCTGGAGACAGGAACCCAAGTGATGCAAATACTGCAATATACAATCAGAAATGTTTAACACCGGCATCAAAATATTATTTCACTTGAAATAACTATACCAGAGATATAAATCATTCTTTTTTTTTATTTCAAATATTTTAAATTTTAATTTAAAAAATAAATATAATATAATATAAAAATAAAAATAATAAAAAAAAACAAAACAAAATGGAATCTTTTTTTTAAATGTCACCAAATATTCAGTCTACAAAACTCTTTTATATAATAAAGGTATGTTATATACTTACCAAGTGTAATGAGAACCATGAAGAACACCTGCATACCACTACCATTGAGGACAGCCAACATCATACCCTTTCTGGGGGGTCGGAACACATCTCCATGGACTAGCTTCCATCCAAACTCCTCCTGGGCATCTTCCTGTACATACAAACATTTGTCAACTTTAAACAACTGTGCTTTTAAATCTTAACACTTTAATGAGTTCGTTACAAAGAATCAATTTTAAAAAGATTTCTATCTACAGAACACAATGAAAGTTATACAAATTGATACTCAATAGCTGAACTTCTTTGCCTGAAAACAAAAACAGCATACATACAATGATTTAATATGAATGGTCTCAAACAGTAATGAAATGTTTAGATTTATAAAGATTCAAATCTGGCTTATCGATGACCTGCAGTATTCTTTCTTGTTTTCAGAATCAAGCCAGCACAGATTCCCAAAGAAGGTCAGGCAAGCACAGATTCCCAAAGTAGGTCAGGCTAGCACAGATTCCTAAGGTAGGTCAGGCAAGCACAGATTCCTAAAGTAGGTCAGGCAAGCACAGATTCCTAAGGTAGGTCAGGCTAGCACAGATTCCTAAAGTATGTCAGGCAAGCAGAGATTCCTAAAGTAGGTCAGGCAAGCACAGATTCCCAGATAAGGTCAGGCAAGCACAGATTCCTAAGGTAGGTCAGGCTAGCAGATTCCTAAACAAGGTCAGACTAGCTTATATACCCAAAGAAGGTCAGGCTAGCACAAATTCCCAGGTAAGGTCAGGCAAGCATAGTTTACCAAATAAGATCAGAAAAGCAAAGACTCCTAAATAAGGTCAGGTTTGTACAGATGCACTCAACATAAAGATATACTGAATCTTGTTAATGATCCTTTGATACTTTTTGTGAATCAGATACCATTATTTATGTAAATGCCACTACTATGGATCAAACCCTTTACCTCTGGTTTTCTAATCTTCTGCTAATCAATCAAGCTAAAGAGAAGATTGCAGCTAGTGTTAGGGTCATATTTGTATAGCATCATTTCCTTAATCAAAATATCCCAAAAAGAAGAAAATATTTGGCACAATCTGGACCTGTACTTAAAGAGTTATCTATCTGTTGTAGCCTGTACTTACAGAATTATCTATCTGTTGTTGCCTGTACTTACACAGTTATCTATCTGTTGTAGCCTGTACTTACACAGTTATCTATCTGTTGTAGCCTGTACTTACAGTTATCTATCTGTTGTAGCCTGTACTTACACAGTTATCTATCTGTTGTAGCTTGTACTTACAGAGTTATCAATCTGGTTGTAACGTGCAATGTCCTTGTGAAGTGTTCTCAGCATAATCATAGCCACCATACCAGAGAGGAACAGCACGATCACCAAGGAGTTCATGATGCTGCAAACATTTACACCATCCAAACGTATACATATCACTTGATTATTAGTTTCAAAACCATTTTTTGTCCATTTTACCATCATAAAAAAAACCCAGTGAAATTAAGCACCAACTGTGATGGTTTTTCGAAATTAAGAGGGAACAAAATTATGCATGATATTTTCTTGGCTTCAAATGTTGAAACTAGAAAAAATTTTACCTTTGAAAATATGTTGAAGAACTTTTATGTAAATGTGATAAACTTACCTGAACCACTGGATATTTGTGTGAGGCATAGACTCAAGTATATAATCCCACCTTGACGACCACTTAATGGTATTGTCTTGCTGGAAAACAAAATACAGATGTAGCGTATTTCAGGACATACACGTAGGATTTTTTGATGTTCTTACCAAACTGATGCAATGTCTCATACAAAATATTTAACCAAATCTGAGAGAGATTCTCAAGATATGTCATTTTGAGTGGGACAAAACAGAAAGAACTGGCAAGAGTAAAACTTTATGCACCCCATTTAGAAAGCTGGGATATAAAAAGATAACAGTTTCTGACTGGACAGAAGTTACTAAATTGGAATCATTGAATGATGCAGTGGTAAAGAGAAATACATTCCCACAAACCTACAAAAGAAGAATACAGGGTAGTTTGATATAGGAGGAATATGATAGTTGCTTTGATATGTTAAAAAAATACAATGAGAATTTAAATATGGGAAGAACAGTAGTTACATACTTTCCATGTTAGCGAGAAGGTGTAGTTGAAGGTTAGTGGTTGGCTGATATCACCACCACCGGTCAGGAACATAGCAGGATCAGTAGCTTTAGCCTGGCATCCGTAAGCATCTAGTTGTGTCTTCCTGATACTGAAATCAAACATAAATTACTTTTATTTATGTGTTTAATTCTGACTTTTTATGATATACCGCAGTACAAACAAAAAGAACTTTCCTACTCTGAACACATCCAATACCTAGGCTAAATATCAGAAAGTAACTAACTTTATTTGTTGTACTGAAAAAAGAATATAAATTTAAACACAGTTTTACTTTTTAGTAAAAATGTAAATGAAAAATCACCTTTTGGGGACAAGTTTTGCAGATACAATGCGACCTCCTGGGTTATTCTGGTCTCCCCATTCCTCTCCCTCCCCAGAGTGATAGGTGATAGTGATATCCACATGGTTAAAAAGGTAGTAGCTGTCCTTCTCACTGAAACGTGGCTGCAAAACAGATATCAGACTCAGATTTATCACAAAGTTCCACATACCAACACATCCTGTGAGAGTTTTAAATCTTCATATTTTTGTTCCACTTACCTCACCCCGGATTTATGTTCATAGAACTCTCGATTAGACATGACCCCACTAAGTTATCTATCACAAAAATTAATATTTTTTATTTGCACTGTATTGGAACAAGTGAACTGTGAGTTACATATTTTTTTTCAGGAGTGAAGATCATGTAATGTTATAATGTCATCATAATCATTGTGTTTGAAATGACCTGATGTTTAGTTGCCGGAATTACTGAAAGCCTTCCACAAATTATTAAATATGAAATTCAATCGTAGTGATAATTTCAGTCAGTTATCAAATGAAAAGTATTGAACCTATATTCCAAGTAAGAAAATTTTAAAGTTTGTCTCGGTCAGACTTGGGTATGATACTTACATCAGTCACGCAGGCATCCTTTCTCTTTCCATTTTTAGTAACGTAGCATCCAATGGGAAATCCTCGAGAGCAATACTTCTCATTTTGCTCTACATCATAACACCAGGTTAGCGGCATGTTATCAACAATCCTAAAATAACAACAAATAAATAGTAGTTATTGACTACCAACGGCTATCTTCTTAATTCTAAAGAATTGTAACTATATCACTAACTCCTCCCGTCCCCTCCCTCCCCGGGTTTTGCCCTTCTTTCGTTCTGCAGCCCTCCCTCCCCGGGTTTTGCCCTTCTTTCGTTCTGCAGGAACATTAAAAATTAAGTCATTTATTTCTACTAATGTGTTGTTTGTTCAAGAGGTTGTTATACTGCATTAGATTCTTTTTTTATCATCTCCAGCATAGACTACAAATTGTAAACATTAACAAGGTAATGACTGGAAACTCAATGTTTAAACATCTACATGGAAAATGTAGATTGAAAGTGGAAAAATGGGTCCTGACCATATAAATGCCTGACAAAATCCCTGTTCTAGTCTCTATATAAAAATCTTCTTTGATAAAAAATTTAAGTACAATATAATTCTAAAATGATCATCACTTCCTTTATGATTCTAACTCTAAACAGCTTATTCATGTTTCACAATTAACATGTGGGAGACAAAATGCACATGTGTGTATATCTGCCATATCCAGATTTTCCGGTAATTTTAAATTTTCTATAATTAATGAGAGGAAGGATCTTTAAAAGGGTGTCTCAAAACTCTTTAAAAAAAGTTCACATCAACCATAAAAAACACTTTAGCCATTATCCTACAAGTACTACTCTTGTCATCATTTTAAACATTCAAACACTAACATCTAACTTCATCTGAAGACCACTTACAAATCTGCATAAATAGAATAGAAAACTCACCAGTGGTGCTGATAGTTGAGTGAAATTCCCTTTTTCAGAAACTTCAGTCTGGCTAAGGACTCCTTCTGTTTTGGCTGGTATGTCCTTGTACAGGCCACTTGACATTTCACATCCATCATGTAGGTTGCCTGAAATAATCCACATAAATAGAAGATTTTTATTTGGAAAATATTTGGAAAATAAAAATGAAATTGAACTATGATGTAATATGTTTCTGGACACAATTTCAAAGTACAGATCTGTCACCAATTGCATTAAGTTCTAATCGCTCCTACTTGATTGATTTCATATATATGACATTAATAATAATTCCATGTATTGATAATAAATTTGTTTATTGTCTCTTTGGCAGGTGAACTGCTAGGGTCATTTTAAGGCAGAGCCTCTTTACAATAACAGGTGACTACCTCATTGAACAATATACAGGAGGCCTGTACTATAAAGCTCTCCAGAATGATTGAGGTTAAACCATTTCATTTAATCAGAAAGGCTGTAATTCATTTCCTCTCCTACCTAGCTATAAAGTAATGGTAAGAAGATCTATCATAACATGAATATCATCGCTTTTTTTAACATTTCGTTTTTTAAGCAAAAGAAGGATTTAAATAAATTGGATGTTGGATGATATATTTTCTTTTTCGTTTTTTTCAAACAAATTTTAGTTGAAATTGTTATTGTTAATATAACAAACAGTATTACCAGTAATTGAGATTATCCTAACCAGTATTTATAATCACACAATATGAACTGAATATTCTTTGCCCTTGTAAAAATTCAATCAGACAAGAGTAATAGTAAAAGTGATAAATACTCAAAAACAACTTAATTGGACATAAAAACACAAAAGGTTCTAATTCTGTTATGAAGAGGTTTTGGGCCCTGAATAAGAAACATGTACTGTACATCTTCTCAGCATGACAGATGAATACACCAAATGTCTTTATCTTAGTTTAAATAAAAGCAAGGTTATGCTGTGGACAAAAAACATTTTTTCGAGCGTTGGTAACAGTATTAAAGGAGTTTCAGGCCCCGAATTCGGAACAATGCACATCCCATTAGTATGATGAAAGAATACATCAAATTTCATTACCCTGGTTCAAATGAAAGCAATGTTATGTTTTGGACACGCCAGTTTTAACAAAGGGCCATAACTCTGTAGTTAAGCAGTTGTGGGCCCTAATTTAGTACACTACACATTGTTTTAGTATGACCAATGTGTACACCATGTTTCATTATCTTAATTTAAATGAGGATAAAGGCATGTTCTAGACATCAAAAATTTTAACAAAGGACAATAACTCTGTAATGAAGGAATCGTGGGCCGTAACATTGGTAAACTGCACACTGTCTTAGTATTACTAATGTATAATATATCAAGTATTCATGATCCTTGTTGAACTGTATGGGCAACGTTATACTCTGGACACAAAAGGAAGGAAGGACGAATGAAGAGGCAACTACATGCTATCCCTCCCCCTTCCCAAAAATTTTTAAGGATCATTAAAAGGGTCAAATGACATAAAGATAAGATAACAAACATATGATTTAGTGACTATGTCTTACATTGTAAGGAGATGGTCGGATCCTTTCTCCAAACACCACTTGTCCCAAATTCTCCACAGGAGAATGTTCTTCATCTGTGGTACAGAAGTCAAAGCTGAAAGAAAATGTCATAATCTACAGCTAATTTTCACTATTAAAGCTGACGCCATCTGATGGACTGTAATGAGTTGAAACATCAACTCCTTAAACTTATAGAATTCATTCTAAAAAAACATTTGGTTATTTTTGTTTAAAAAAAATCCTGCTTGCTTCATAAGATGTACCCTTTTCAAGACAAAGATGTGTGCAGAAAATGTCCTCATATTGGAGATATTTATAAAACATTTAATGATTTTTTCCATCTTTATATAATTATCAGTCTAAAAATTCTGGAAAATAAAATCATCTACCCTGAAGGCATGACAGAAATTTATTATTCTTAATTTCAAACTCTTTTTAGTGATGATAATTTTTATGCCCATTTCCTGGTGTTTACAACATGACATATATGTAATTGGCTTACATGATATATCTAAATGCATATGTGGTCAAATAGGATTTATATGACAACTCTCCAAAAAACTATGTTTTTTCTATTGTCAAAATACTTACGAATGGTATTCATATGGTACAATTGTTTCAATTGAGTTGAGTCTGTTAACGAAGATCTTCACTTCAGTCTGAAACAGAAATGATTTTTCATAATAATTGAATAACAAACAGCGAGTTTGCTGCATACACAATGAAAGGTCTCCCCATGGATCAAACCATGACTGCACAAAGCGGTACATTTCTAAGCTTCCCTTCAGGTCTCTACTGATTGTTTATTAAACTATTTTGGAACAAATACTGAGAGGGAAGGTGTGCCAAAATCTATAAAATACACTGAATTCCAAACAGAAGTAGTTTTTAAGATGCATAAAACAGGACGATCTCTAATTTATATCAGATGCTTTACAATGTACGTTGTCAAACATCCGATATAAATGAGTCCTAAAGAGGAATCCAACAAGGGATTCAGTGCTCTCAATTGAAAAATACAAAGACAACATTGACTCTTCAAGTGAATTCCTGACTCAATTGCTAAACATATTTGTTACAATTCTAATAGATAGAGGCTGTTGTATCAGACCGATTCTGATTTTGCCTGAATTATTTGTATGTTCTATTGACTGTTTCAATACATCTATGAATGGACTTTAGTGAGGCATTTCATAAGGTCAACTACCAACTTTTAATCCCCAAACTTAGGAGCTACCACTCAGCTGGGGAAGTAAACACCTGGACTGAAAACTTCCCAAGTAACAAGACTCAATCAGTATTAGTTGAAGGGGGGAAATTCCAACACTGTCCCATTAAGATTAGGGTTTCCCACGGTTATGTCCTCGGGCCGAGCCTTTTTCTCTATTACACCAATGACATTTCTGAGGATATTTCATTGTTCATTTGTCTCTTTGATACCATTATGCACCTTGCAGTAACATCAGACCAAGATGCACAATCTGTGCAAAGGGACCTTGTCCCACTCAGTTATTAGAAGAGAAAGTGGAAGATGGAATTATTCAATCCAGACAAATGTCAAGTTGTTTCCATCACCAGAAATAGAAATCCTATTGTCCATCTATAAAAGCTTCATGGACATGAACGTGTGTCGGAGGCCAAATATCTGAGTGTTTACCATCAGTTCTGACACGAAATGGCTCTCTCATGTCAACAACATCACAAGGAAAGCAAATACTGCCTGTCGCTTTTTCAGACAAAATCACCAAAGACAAAGCTTCTAGATAAGTCTTTAGTCCACCCTCAACTTGAATATACCAGTTCAATTTGGGTCACATACCTGAAAAACGACACAGACAAGAAAGAGATAGTTCAGCTGCCCGCTATGTTCTCAACCGACATTAAAACACCGTTTGTAACACATTAGGCCTTTAATGGATGCACAGCTATAAAACATGCCATAGCAAAGTTGCCTTCAACCCCAAACACCTGGTTCCAACCCTACTACAAGACCTTCAAGACACTGTCATCTTTTTTCCTGTACTATCTCTTGCATAATCCTCCTTTACCCAGACAATCAATGATTGGTATATACATCCGTCTAAGTTTCATTAGCAGACCCATTATCTTCTCTCAAATCAACAATCTCTTCATTCCATTATTATTTCTCTCCATTTCTTGCCTCGGCCAACAATTAATAACAAAACCTTCAACCCGTTGAAGTTGTTCATTATCTGGTAGAGGTAGGAGATAAAATGTCTAGTGTACGTTTGAATCCGACATGTATTACACGTAGCCGTGTTGTCAAGGACTTCCTCTTCTCCGTTTATGCATCCTTTCCTGTACCGTCGTAGTACACCGTCGAAAAAGTTAAACATTGCAAGATTTATGTATATACGATGAACTTTTACCAATTTGATATTTATGAACAAAATGTCAAATTTACCTTGCAATTTTCTGACTTTTGCTTGCAGTAAGTTACAGGTGCCAAACCTGGAAGGTAAAAGGCCGTAGAAAAGGAAACTATTCCAAGTAAAATGGATAATGTCTTCAGCATGTTTTGTGGTGATGTCTTGGCCGACTTCAGACGTGTCATCTGATCTAAACGAATGTTATTTTGCCTTGAGGAAACCTGCGATTTACACGCAACGTAAAAATGGCCGCCTATGTGCCGGAAGTCCTCGTATATCGTGTTTCCTCGTTAAGGAAAAACACGAGGATGTACGAACGATATCTCCACGTCACAGGCAGGCCAACCAGTCTAGTAACAACTTGTAAAGTCCTCGGGGAGATAACTCTACCTAATAACTTGACTAGGCCTGGGGACCAAAGTTGTTGTTTCTTTCATTTAATCCATTTATTTGTTCATTGACGAAAAGAAATGTTCAGTACCGCCGTACCGCACAGATCCATCGTTATGTATCGTTAATGACCTTGTCGTATGACATGTATAGTGATCGAAGCTCTGATCATGGACCCGATTATCAAAAAGGAAAAATATCTACTAAACCCCGTCTGTTATTTACCCAATATTATTTACACCATATCGGTATGTATGCCTCTCGTCCGCTGAAAGGCCTTAATAGTGGACGTTAAATTTGTTAAATAAATAAAGAAGATATATATAAGTCTCTAACAGACTGGAATGGGTGGTCGGGTGGCTTATGGCGCAGTCGTAACGCATTCGCATTTCACATGTCTGTCTGGGGTTTGATTACCGAAGAGGACGTGTACAGTTATGTGGTCATCTACACCGGACCACATGGGGTTTTCCCGGATACTCCGGTTTCCTCCCAAAGGAAAGACCCTCGCGCGCTTCTATCCGGGTCAACAAAAAATTATATTTAATCAGTGTGAATAAAGTGATATAATAGATTCAATGCACATGTTTTATTTAACCCCGCATGCTTATCAACAAACAGCATTAGCTCACGCCTATTACTGCAACCACGGACTAATAAGTCCGTGCTGCAACAAAGATGGAAACGTCATGAGATCAGAGAATGACGAGTAGCGATACAGATCAGCAGTAAATTAAAGAGAGTTGAATTAATTTTAGATAGGAGAAAGGGTTACCTATCACACACATGACTTAAAATACACAAGTTCAGACCAAGTACTCATAAAGTCAGTTATACAAAACGAAATAGTGAAAATTTTATGAAATCGACGTGTCACTCTATCATCATGGGAAAATGCAACATAGGCAATTAGCTGCAGACTGGACTCTCTGACATCAAGAAGAGGAAAGACAGGGGGAACTGAGTTTCCTATCTCTGTTAAAACTGTCACGATTCCTCTGCACCAATGTCAGACGGAATATTGGCATGGGAATTATTAAAAAAAATTCTGATAGCTGTTTTTTGTCATTTAAAATAACCTTGTTTTCCTTTAATTATAACAATATCTAACAACACTGTTGTGCCTTTACGTGACAAAAAATGATGGCAGGCCAGAAACATTTGACTTATGACTGACCATGCACCAGCAAAGCGTTAAAAATGAAGTGCATATACATGTCCTAATTTAAGGACGATATAAAATACTTGTAACTAGTTGCGTGAATTAATTTGTTACAGACATATATACATTGAACATAACTGATAACTATAAATAGGCAGGGACCTAAGGTAATTTTATTAACATAATGTATTTCTCTTTACACGTGACGTACAGGAGTTTGGCAAAATGTAAAATTTAATTGTTATGATGGATTGGTATACAGTCATAAAGATAACACTCTAGAATGAGTGATATGACACGTGGTAGATATTTTATGTTAAATTATTATTACTGCCAGAGACAGAAATATTTTTGGTATATTAAGTTTTATTAAATTAATTTCGATTGATTAATTTTCAGTAAGTGGGTATTACATTCGTTTTTTATTTACAACATTTCCACCCTGAATTTCACGTAAAAAATGCAACAACTTGTCCCATGATCACAGCCTGCAGCGGATTCCCAGGACGGTAAAAGTACATAACGTGTGATAACTTATATCGTTATAAACAGTTGTGTTTTCTTTTCTTTGTTAATCTACAAATATTGGATATTAAGGCGAAGAGATAGAACTGAAAAAATATTCTAGAGCTTTTCATTTTTTTTATCGGTAAAAATACGTATTTGAATTTAAAACAGAACGTAACATGTAGTACCTGCAGTGTTTCCAGGGAAGTATACATCTTTGGTAGTAGGTATAAATAGTCATTATCTTTTTCTAAAACACAGTATCTTGTAATTCAAAGTGTCATGTTAAATACTGTATTATGGAGAACCTAATGGGAACTCTGAAGAACCTTTTATTGAATCGCTGTCGCTGTTGACATAATTAAGTGAACAAGGATAGATATGTCAAAACCAAGAACTGTAAGTGAAGCAGGAAATGTGCACTTGTGCCAGCTTGGTTGAGGTATATGTATGTTGTAGATAAAAAGTACGTGTATAAGTAAATACTTCTTATACAACAAAGGAGTTAGCTAGCACTCAAAAGGAAGACACCTACCGCTATGAGGCAAATCTTTACTGTGTTAATTTTGATATATTTTTCTTCACAAGTAACTCCAAAATAGGTCGATACCGACGTCGACCATCAGACATGTGATAATTTAGAAAAGAAAACATATGAAATAGAGACCAACATAGCAGAGCTGAAAACTCAGATGTGTGGACTTGAAGGGAAATTCAAGGAACAGAAATATAAATATGAAAGCCAGTTGGGGAAAATGGCTGCTAATATGACTGCCGTGACGAATGTTATTGAAGACCACACAAATCTACTGACCACACTGAGAGAGGACATTGACAATCTAGTCGAACGTTTGGACAAAAAATCTTCAACCCCTGGTAAGCATTGTACGCTATTTGTTAACATCATAAACAATTCAGGAGCGGTCCGGGATTTCGAGTTAAAACGGGCGCAATTTTTTAAACTGAAAAATCTCTCAAATTATCCGGATTTGATTCGTGGGCGTAGCCCCGACTATTTTTTTAATGAACACTAACATATAATGTCCCCATTTCCTATGTAATTTAAGCGCCATTGACCTATAAGCATATGTGATGATGAAATTTCAGTTCATGATTATCGCAAAAAGATGGTAAATTACCCAATCTTAAGGGGAGGGCTAGTTCTCTGAAGACACTTTTGAAAATGCATGCCTGCCTTTATAAGTAAGGAAATGCTTTTTAAAAGTAAATAGTGTGTTTTAATCAACAACAAAGAAAACATAATAAAACAAAGAATTAATTTGTAATCCTTTTCAGCATACAAAACAGAATCAATAGAGAGACGATATAAGATAATCACATAGTTAACACAGTGGATATACAGGTGTATAATGGTGTGTCGCGGACACAAACAGAATACTTCATTTAACGCCATCTTGATACATAAATAGAAAAAGAAAAAAATGCAAAAATGAGAAAGCGATGAAAAGAAAACAAAAGGCCAAGTGAAATTAGCTTACTGTCCATTATATCAGTTGTCACCAAGTTTTTATCACATAAATAGTCTGTATACACTATATTAACATTTATCACCTAACTACGCTGTCATCAGTGTACAACTAACCCCTAACTACCCTGTCATCAGTGTACAACTAACCCCTAACTACCCTGTCATCAGTGTACAACTATCCCTAACAACCCTGTCATCAGTGTACAACTATCCCTAACAACCCTGTCATCAGTGTACAACTATCCCCTAACTACCCTGTCATCAGTGTACAACTATTCCCTAACTACCCTGTCATCAGTGTACAACTATCCCCTAACTACCCTGTCATCAGTGTACAACTATCACCTAACTACCCTGTCATCAGTGTACAACTATCCCCTAACTACCCTGTCATCAGTGTACAACTATTCCCTAACTACCCTGTCACCAGTGTACAACTATCACCTAACTACCCTGTCACCAGTGTACAACTATCACCTAACTACCCTGTCATCAGTGTACATCTATCTCTAACTACCCTGTCATCAGTGTACAACTATCCCCTAACTACCCTGTCATCAGTGTACAACTATCACCTAACTACCCTGTCATCAGTGTACAACTATCACCTAACTACCCTGTCATCAGTGTACAACTATCACCTAACTACCCTGTCATCAGTGTACAACTATCCCCTAACTACCCTGTTATCAGTGTACAACTATCCCTAACAACCCTGTCATCAGTGTACAACTATTCTCTAACTACCCTGTCATCAATGTACAACTATCCCCTAACTACCCTGTCATCAGTGTAAAACTATCCCCTAACTACGCTGTCATCAGTGTACAACTATCCCCTAGCTACCCTGTTATCAGTGTACAACTATCCCTAACAACCCTGTCATCAATGTACATCTATCACCTAACTACCATGTCATCAGTGTACAACTATCCCCTAACTACCATGTCATCAGTGTACAACTATCCCCTAACTACCCTGTCACCAGTGTACAACTATCACCTAACTACCCTGTCACCAGTGTACAACTATCACCTAACTACCCTGTCATCAGTGTACAACTATCACCTAACTACCCTGTCATCAGTGTACAACTATCCCCTAACTACCCTGTCATCAGTGTACAACTATCACCTAACTACCCTGTCATCAGTGTACAACTATCACCTAACTACCCTGTCATCAGTGTACAACTATTCTCTAACTACCCTGTCATCAGTGTACAACTATCACCTAACTACCCTGTCATCAGTGTACAACTATCACCTAACTACCCTGTCATCAGTGTACAACTATCCCCTAACTACCCTGTTATCAGTGTACAACTATCCCTAACAACCCTGTCATCAGTGTACAACTATTCTCTAACTACCCTGTCATCAGTGTACAACTATCCCCTAACTACCCTGTCATCAGTGTACAACTATCCCTAACTACCATGACATCAATGTACAACTATCCCCTAACTACCCTGTCATCAGTGTACAACTATCCCTAACTACCCTGTCATCAGTGTACAACTATTCCCTAACTACCCTGTCATCAGTGTACAGCTATTCCCTAACAACCCTGTCATCAGTGTACAACTATTCCCTAACTACCCTGTCATCAGTGTACAACTATCCCCTAACTACCCTGTCATCAGTGTACAACTATCCCCTAACTACCCTGTCATCAGTGTACAACTATCCCCTAACTACCCTGTCATCAGTGTACAATTATCCCTAAATACCCTGTCATCAGTGTACAACTATCCCCCTAACTACCCTGTCATCAGTGTACATCTATCTCTAACTACCCTGTCATCAATGTACAACTATCCCCTAACTACCCTGTCATCAGTGTACAACTATCCCCTAACTACCCCGTCATCAGTGTACAACCATCACCTAACTACCCTGTCATCAGTGTACAACCATCACCTAACTACCCTGTCATCAGTGTACAACTATACCTAACTACCCTGTCACCAGTGTACAACTATCCCCTAACTACCCTGTCATCAGTGTACAACTATCCCCTAACTACCCTGTCATCAGTGTACAACTATCCCCTAACTACCCTGTCATCAGTGTACAACTATCCCTAACTACCCTGTCATCAGTGTACAGCTATTCCCTAACTACCTTGTCATCAGTGTACAACTATCCCCTAACTACCCTGTCATCAGTGTACATCTATCCCTAACTACCTTGTCATCAGTGTACATCTATCCCTAACTACCCTGTCATCAGTGTACAACTATCCCCTAACTACCCTGTCATCAGTGTACAACTATTTCCTAACTACGCCGTCATCAGTGTACAACTATCCCCTAACTACCCTGTCATCAGTGTACAACTATTCCCTAACTACCCTGTCATCAGTGTACAACTATCCCTAACTACCCTGTCATCAGTGTACAACTATCCCCTAACTACCCTGTCATCAGTGTACAACTATCCCCTAACTACCCTGTCATCAATGTACAACTATCACCTAACTACCCTGTCATCAGTGTACATCTATCACCTAACTACCCTGTCATCAGTGTACAACTATCTCTAACTACCCTGTCATCAATGTACAACTATCACCTAACTACCCTGTCATCAGTGTACATCTATCTCTAACTACCCTGTCATCAATGTACAACTATCACCTAACTACTATGTCATCAGTGTACATCTATCACCTAACTACCCTGTCATCAGTGTACGACTATCCCCTAACTACCCTGTCATCAATGTACAACTATCCCCTAACTACCCTGTCATCAGTGTACAACTATCCCCTAACTACCCTGTCATCAGTGTACAACTATCCCTAACTACCCTGTCATCAGTGTACAACTATCCCTAACTACCCTGTCATCAGTGTACAACTATCACCTAACTACCCTGTCATCAATGTACAACTATCACCTAACTACTATGTCATCAGTGTACATCTATCACCTAACTACCCTGTCATCAGTGTACGACTATCCCCTAACTACCCTGTCATCAATGTACAACTATCCCCTAACTACCCTGTCATCAGTGTACAACTATCCCCTAACTACCCTGTCATCAATGTACAACTATCACCTAACTACGCCGTCATCAGTGTACAACTATCCCTAAATACCCTGTCATCAGTGTACAACTATCCCCTAACTACTCTGTCATCAGTGTACATCTATCTCTAACTACCCTGTCATCAATGTACAACTATCCCCTAACTACCCTGTCATCAGTGTACAACTATCCCTAACTACCCTGTCATCAGTGTACAACTATCACCTAACTACCCTGTCATCAGTGTACAACTATCCCTAACTACCCTGTCATCAGTGTACAGCTATTCCCTAACTACCCTGTCATCAGTGTACAACTATCACCTAACTACCCTGTCATCAGTGTACAACTATCCCTAACTACCCTGTCATCAGTGCACAACTATCCCCTAACTACCCTGTCATCAGTGTACATCTATCACCTAACTACCATGTCATCAGTGTACATCTATCCCCTAACTACCCTGTCATCAGTGTACATCTATCTCTAACTACCCTGTCATCAGTGTACAACTATCCCCTAACTACCCTGTCATCAGTGTACAACTATCCCTAACTACCCTGTCATCAGTGTACAACTATCACCTAACTACCCTGTCATCAGTGTACAACTATCCCTAACTACCCTGTCATCAGTGTACAGCTATTCCCTAACTACCCTGTCATCAGTGTACAACTATCACCTAACTACCCTGTCATCAGTGTACAACTATCCCTAACTACCCTGTCATCAGTGTACAACTATCCCCTAACTACCCTGTCATCAGTGTACATCTATCACCTAACTACCATGTCATCAGTGTACATCTATCACCTAACTACCATGTCATCAGTGTACATCTATCCCCTAACTACCCTGTCATCAGTGTACATCTATCTCTAACTACCCTGTCATCAGTGTACAACTATCCCCTAACTACCCTGTCATCAGTGTACAACTATCACCTAACTACCCTGTCATCAGTGTACAACTATCACCTAACTACCCTGTCATCAGTGTACAACTATTCTCTAACTACCCTGTCATCAGTGTACAACTATCACCTAACTACCCTGTCATCAGTGTACAACTATCCCCTAACTACTCTGTCATCAGTGTACATCTATCCCCTAACTACCCTGTCATCAGTGTACATCTATCTCTAACTACCCTGTCATCAGTGTACAACTATCCCCTAACTACCCTGTCATCAGTGTACATCTATCTCTAACTACCCTGTCATCAATGTACAACTATCACCTAACTACCCTGTCATCAGTGTACAACTATCCCTAACTACCCTGTCATCAGTGTACAACTATCCCTAACTACCCTGTCATCAGTGTACAACTATCACCTAACTACCCTGTCATCAGTGTACAACTATCACCTAACTACCCTGTCATCAGTGTACAACTATCCCTAACTACCCTGTCATCAATGTACATCTATCACCTAACTACCATGTCATCAGTGTACAACTATCTCTAACTACCCTGTCATCAATGTACAACTATCACCTAACTACCCTGTCATCAGTGTACATCTATCCCTAACTACCCTGTCATCAGTGTACAACTATCACCTAACTACCCTGTCATCAGTGTACATCTATCTCTAACTACCATGTCATCAGTGTACATCTATCCCCTAACTACCATGTCATCAGTGTACAACTATCACCTAACTACCCTGTCATCAGTGTACAACTATCCCTAACTACCCTGTCATCAGTGTACAACTATCACCTAACTACCCTGTCATTAGTGTACAACTATCCCTAACTACCCTGTCATCAGTGTACAACTATCCCTAACTACCCTGTCATCAGTGTACATCTATCACCTAACTACCATGTAATCAATGTACAACTATCCCCTTACTACCCTGTAATCAATGTACAACTGGATTTGTTTACTATGACCAATTGACCGATGCAAATTTTACTGCAAGAACGTCAACACCAACTTTCACGTCGAGGTCTAAAGTGCTGCACGAGATTCAAGTACAATATACAAATTACGGGGTGGATATTATTAGCTAGAACAACAATTCTTAATTCCCAAAACGTATTTAAACTTAGGGTATTCAGCCCGTAAAGCCTTTTAATTGGGACAAAAACAAAAATCAAAATTTTCGCCTAATTCATAAAGATCACTATGTATACGCCATTACTGACCATATTTATCCACAAGTTATTTTCATCTAACAAAAATTTAAGTACTTCAATCGTGTCACATAGCATGCTGGTTGGATACAATAAAACTATTAATATATGCCCAATAAAAAACTTAATTTCAAACAAAAACATGTGTTTTTACATACCATAATAACAGCAATGAATAATAAAATAGCTGCTATTCATATCACATTCATATACAATGTACGATACGCAAAAAAGTGTTGTCTCGGTACCCTCGTTGTCACTCTTAGAAAAGTGACAAAGACACTTTGTAAGGTAAACTGAGTGTGACAAGAGAGTTTTCAAATGAAAAATCTGTTTAAATACTTGCTGGCAAACCTTCTGCAAATTTTCAAATAACTTTAAGAAACTTTTACCAATGTAATTAGACATTTCTAAGTTTTAATACCCCTACCCCCTTAATTTCGATTACTCATTAGATTTCAGGAAAATTGCTTACAATAGCATCATAGCCAAACAGACTATAAATACTAAACTCTTTGAAGGCTACAAGTAGAATAGTAATAAATATTAACTATTTCTAATATTTTCTTACTCTGACCTCTGACCTTGACCTGGATTATGACCACATACTTCATTATGTAACAAAAACGAATAAGAAATCAAGTCCTTTTTGCACAAAAAAGTGTTATCATTATAGCTATATAAAAAGGTAATTTTTATCCTACTTTTCAAACAGTTCAACAAGTTTTGGAATTACAGAATCCAGAACACGCTTTGCAGAAGAGATCCGCGGCTGTCCATTACAGTTCTTTTGCACAAATATTGCTCTCAGACCATCTTCACCATCCCTTTGGAATATCTTTTTTTAGATGTTGGAAGTGTAAGCCAGACCCTGCAATATTTTCAGCAGTAGCATGTTTTAAAATGCCTTGTGATATTAAAGGATGTAAGGAAGGCATACCTTTTGCCTTTTCCGCGCTAAAATTAAGGGCATGAACGTCAACTCTTTGACTTCTGAAAATTCACGATCTATAAAACATCGGCATTCATAGGGATTATAACCGGAAGTGGTCCATTAGGTGGGAATACCTTAAGTCAAAACTTTAATATCAAGCAATGTTGTGACACACTTCTGTTAAAATAAACATAGAAAGCAGCAAGGAATTGATATAATGGTTTCATTTCATAGCTATTAATTTTATCAAACAAAACACAATTTAAATAATATTTTATTAATGATTCTAGCACCGACAGACCACTACGTGTGTCCAGCAAACTGGTTGAAGTATAACGCCACATGCATTTACTTTGGGAGCGACCAGATAACCTGGACCGAAGCTAAGGTATTGGTATACAATTTACGGCATCACAGGTGAACTTTTAGAAATTCAGAAAAAAAAAGAAAAAGAGGAAATTTTAAAATAAATAATATTTTTTACAATGTATCATGACACTGTTTTGGGTGTTGAGTAATGAACACGACATGCCTAGTCTGAGTTGAATCTAGACCAACTCTAGATTTTAAACACGTTGACGGTAAAATCGTTGGCTTAAGACCTGAATTCACTTATATGATAAGTTGAAATTACAACAACATATATCAGTTTGTCTGTCGAAATACCTCAAGTACAGATGTTTACCTCACAATAAATATGCTTTAAAATAACAAAATACCATCATGGCCGTTATCAGATCTTTTCCTGCTGTTTCTGATACTGGCATTTCTTAGTTCAGTCCACCATGTTTCTACATTAACATATATGATTCGTGCTGATTTCATTAGCAACATAAATAAAGACACTATCAACAGACTGTAAGAGTTGTTACTCAAGTCAATTATATTCCATCATTAATAGCCTTGGACTTGTGTTAGTATATCCAATCACATTCCATCTTTAACGCATGACTTGAACATTTGTTAGTTTAGTCCACCTAGTTCCATCTTCAATAGTCTTAAATCTTTGTTAGCCAGACTTAGACTAAAGTTAGTATAGTTCACCATGTTCCATCCTTAACAGACTTAAATATAAGTTAGTTTAGTCCACCATGTTCCATCCTTAACAGACTTAAATATAAGTTAGTTTAGTCCACCATGTTCCATCCTTAACAGACTTAAATATAAGTTAGTTTAGTCCTCTTTGATAGATTTGATATTTATTCGTTTAGTCCATCATGTCCATCTTTAACAGCCTTAGACAGAAATTAGTTTAATCAATCATGTTCTATCGTTAATAGTTTTAAATATTTTTAGTTTAGTCTACAATGTTCAGAATGAGATTTTTGGGTTTAAGCGCCGAACGTCATATTGCACACGGAAATAAAATGTAACCGAATGAGGTCACGTGATAACAACCACAATCTTCATCCTCTTATAGATCTCGAAACCAGGTGTATGTTATATTGAGATAAAAATCAAGAAAATATCAAATGTCGAATTCTTGGATGTCACATCAGCTGCTATCTGTAGCCACCGAAAGTCAATTAAACACGATGGTTATTTACTAGTGCGAACAATACACGGCAGGAAGATAGAAATCCTCACAATTACCCTACATTTCTAGAAAACGCTATATATGTAGGTGAAGATCGATGTTAGCGGCCGTGGTAGAATAGTTTGTAGCGTTTTTTCTTATTCTGATAGGTATAAACGACAGACACGAAGCAATAAACTCCTTGTCATTTAAAGGAAGAACATCATCAATATCTAAAACCTAAAAGTTGCAGTGAAGTGAAAACAAGTCAGTCACTAGAGGACATAGTTGATGTATATCAATGTGAGGCTATCAATAACCTGATGGCAGCTCTAACAGAAACAAACCGCTGAATCGGTCCATGTAAAAATGATTCAAGTTCTAGACTGGGTAAATTAAAAAAAAACAAAAAAACAAGTGTTCCAACTTAAGTGTAGTTTTCCCCTTTGATAATCAGATTCGGATCCATTTGATAACAATATTGAATATAATAACGACATTTTATAACTTTGACCTATGTTTGACCAGTGTTTGCCTCAAACGAACAATATCACATATATAATATCATGTATGTTGCAGTTTCATTGTCAAATGTATGGTGCTCATCTTCTGGTTGTTGACAGCGAAGAATTGAACACATTCTTGAAGATCAGGCTACGGGCTGTTGACGGTAGTGCATGATTTAGATTTGTTAAATGTCACAGACAAATTGTATCAACTTTCATACATTTTTGAATTAACGTAATTCTCATATTTGACGTGTAATGACTGAAACGTCCGAACATTGCCATCTCCTTTTTCGACAGTCTTTGTTATCATGGCAATTATATAAACACAAAATTAAGGAACTTAACACCAGATCATAACTTGCAATGCTTCTTACGAAAAAAAAAAACTTTATTTCAAACCAAGCTTTTATAGATTATTATAACCTTATAACAATAGACATACTATCGTTTGAAGGAAACAATCATTATGTTGGAGGAATTGACTTTGGTCGACACAACTGGATATGGGACTATACCAATCGCGAATTTGACTACACCGACTGGAGGTCAAGCCAGCCGAGTGGTGGGAGAAGCGAGCACTGTATGGTGATCTGTTCTGGGTCAAGCTGTCAGTGGAATGACGTTGACTGTTACTCTCAATATAAATATATATGTCAGGTAAGCACAGGACTGGTAAATCCTGATACTTAATACACAGAGGATGGTCAACGGTTAGTATCGATTAGTATCATCTCGAGTATGGTAATATCAATGTCTGTAACAAGTTTGAAAATGTAAAGGGGAAAGTTTGATAAAGCAAACTCATTAAAGACCAAGATTACTTGGATTACTGATAAACAACTTCTTTACCCCAGAATCTACTAAAATCATATATGTCTTATGATTCTGTTCTTACCTCTGTCGACAGAAAGACGTCGTCCTTGGTTGATGGATGAGATGAACACGCAGATTTCTAGTTACAAGATACGGGGATGTTTTACTCAACCCCATGTGCTCCTACACCGGAGGCATTCTCTAATTTCAAATCAGATATTAATTGTATTCTTTAAATGATATTAAAAACTTGTAAAGCAACACAGAAACCAATGTTATTTTTGTGATTATAGAAAACAAGATTACGATGCGAGAGGGTTTTACCATATTTTGTAATCCCGAGGGTGAAATATCCCTATCCTACATACACGCATATGAAAGTCTTATAGTATTACGGCAAATATGCAATAAATTTAATTTGATTGTTAATTTTAAGTACCCTACATATATACATAGATATAATACCGCTTATTCACAACACGATGTTTCTAGATTTGTTTTAGAAACGTGCATACGAAGAAACCAGATATTAAAACTCTCAGAAAATAAGCGATTTTCGGAAGACCTGAAGAACACTAATCTCGAGGTTTAATATAACTTTAGAGTTTAAACTGCATCATAACAGCTGTTTTGTTAGGGCTCGTCAATGCTACTAAAAGCCTAAATTTTGAAACTTATGAGGTGACTGAGGAAAAATCTATACTGATCGGAAGTAAAGTCAGAATCTAGATTGGGAGTTGCACTATCCCCAGTATCCAATTTTGTAATTTTTCCATATTTGATATTTTAAGATCAGCGTCAAGCACTATATATATGTTCACTCAGGTACCAGTATCAGTCTGTGAAAAAAATATTGATTATTTTTATATTTATTTCTTTTTTAAATTTTAAGTGAGTCGTAAGTATTTTGATTAGAAAATGCTACGTGTTTATCATCTTCTCTTTTTTGGGATCGATCTTTTTATTTCGCGACTTCATTTTTCAAAATTTACAATTCCGTAATACATTTTTATTTGTCTTAACATAACAAGAGAAAATGATCTCGGTGAAAAAGTGATGTAAAAACATAAACACTAAAAAGGCTCCCTACCTTAACATCTCAAATTTTCACGCAATTGACAATTGTCAAATAATTACATCGAAATTGAGTTGTAGATGTTAAGTAAATAATTATGAATATTTCTGAGTTTACAAGTAACAAATAGATGATGTTTAATGGTTTCACTTTTAATGTGAAATATATTTTGGTATGATATTTATTGGAAAAAATTAAAGTTTCATTTTCCTATAATTTTAAAGGAAAATCATATGAAAACAAGCCTACCGAAACATAAAGCTGTGTTCAAAGAGGTTCGAGAAATATTTGCGCGTATTTCGATTTAGACAGTTTGATAACAAAACGACGAAGAGGCTGCTTTGTATTTTACGATCTTGTGCTGTATTTATATACCAAATCAGGAAAAATGACCGTGGGAATTATTTAATGGAGAATAAATTTCATGTCCGAACATGAAAACCGGACGAATTTCAATGCGGTGACTAGATATCTTCATTCTGGTTGGTCAAAGTTACAATAGTATATATCACCAATAGAAATGTTACATCATCACTACTGTGAAATAGGGTGATACAACTTTTTATCAAATTAATAAATGCCTATATTTCATTCACAAAAGTAATAAAAAACATCAAAAGATCGCTTTTCTTTGATGTCTACTATAATATATTGTGACGTTTTAATAATAAGACCTACAGATATTGCACGTGAGAAATATTTATTAGGAGTGATCCTTTTCCTCTCACTGGAAAGTAAATATCAGTAGGTTATTAGTATGCTGTCGGTTGTCATTCTTACCAGAATTTGTGGATCAATGGTGATTGGTGGCACAGTAATACATCTATATATGGCTATGAGTGTTTCATGAAGGACAGAATAATCAATTTCCGTATTCATTTTCACGAAGTTCATAGAGTTTCCATAATTTTGATGTATCTTCGCCTTCTAATGTCGAATTCGATATAACAGAAGTGACACATATTTTTTCAAAGTCATTACATTTGATGCTACTACCAATATATATTTGTCGGATGCCTACATTTGGACGTTTTCATACATTTCAAGGGGGCATACTTGTAAAGAGGTAACCCCCTTTACTACTTTTTAGATCTACACGACGAATGCGAAGGGAGATAACTGTTAGTGACTTCACACATGTGGCAAGGTATTTACCGTTGTTAAATTGTTAAATGTAGGATGTCAAATTGATGATGATGTCACAAATTATATGTAGGATGTCGAATTGATGATGATGTCACAAATTATATGTAGGATGTCAAATTGATTATGATGTCACAAATTATATGTAGGATGTCGAATTGATGATGATGTCACAAATTATATGTAGGATGTCGAATTGATGATGATGTCACAAATTATATTTAGGATGTCAAATTAATTATAAGATCACAAATTATATGTAGGATGTCGAATTGATGATGATGTCACAAATTATATGTAGGATGTCAAATTGATGATGATGTCACAAATTATATGTAGGATGTCAAATTGATGATGATGTCACAAATTATATGTAGGATGTCAAATTGATGATGATGTCACAAATTATATGTAGAATATCGAATCGATATCTTAACATCAGAATATTTATTTTATCTAGGAGATTATGTAGTGACATCCTGATGGGGTTTGCGTTTAGAAAACAAGCTTATCTTTCCTAAAATCTTCTTTAAAGCCGTGATATGAATTGGACAAGCCGCTAATTACGTTTTGACGTGCAAACAGGACCTAATGTCTACCATCGACCTGAATAAGTCTTCTATTCCCGTCTACATAACTAATCTCTTTCTTCCTCTTTAATGTCTAGATGAGTTCGTTGTGTAAGAAACACGACGAAGATATGCTTTGTATACAAACATGTAACAAATAACATGCATATCGATTATTAGGTAGGGATTCATATTGATGAATAGTGCATACATGTCACGATAAGTATTACAATGGAATATCAGCTGTCATGCGTGAAATTACTTTCTCGACATTTGCACATGTTTTCCATCCAATCATCTTATATCCACGGATCAATGTCATGTCAAACCAACCTGATTCGCTCATGTCGGTATTTTAAATATGTAATGAAGCGTTTCTAGGATCCCGCCCAGATAATTAAGAAGTAAATGGAGTTTCATATAAATAAAATTGCGAAATCACGAACAATTTATTTATAAAGTACACACTTAATGTTGCAAAAAATGTTTTGCTGTAGTTACTGGAATGGTCTGCGTCCTAAGGAAAGGTAGATAGGTGGATATTCATGTAGCAAGCCAAGTTGTCATTTATCCGTTAAGTAATATTGACCAAATACTTAACTATATTACAAAATATTTCATTTCCGTACGAGTTATATATATATGGTATGTCTTCTTCTAAGTTTATTATATATTGTATATGTCTTATACCACGTCGTGTTCAATGTTTTTGATATCTTATGATATCCCGTAAACATTCATTTGAAAGATATCTGATCTAAAATCTTAAATATTACATATATATCTCATACAAGACATCTTACAAAATTCATAAGCTGTTTCGTTTAGTTTGAAATAAATAATATATTTTTTTGTTTTTATGAATGATCATATTAAAAAAGATAACATATCTAACATCAGTTAGTTAAGTAATGACCTAAATCTATAAATAAACGACAGCTTGGTTATGATATATCACGGCCGGTTGATGAGACAATTCGACGTCACTTAAATTCAATCCTCCAAAGAAAGTGTCGATCTTGACAGGGCAGCCGGTTTTGTGGACCGACTCATAGTACATTTGATGAAATGTTTCCATGTCTCTCTGGTTGAAACGTGAACTTTTAGAATGGTTGATCAATCACCAATATTCAAGGATTCTCTCAACGTGAAAACATTGCAAAATACTATCCGCAGTGTACCGCTCAGTTAGAGAGAACTTCTCTTAAGCTCCATCGGTTGAGCATCAGACTAGTAAACCAGGGGTTCCGGGTTCGAATCCTAGCGGAGATACTAAAATGAATAATGACCTCTGTTACATTAGCGCCCATGTTAGGGGCTCGAGAATACTTTGTATAGTCCCACAGACAGTGCTGTAAAGTTGAGAACGAGTTTTTTTCCAGGAGGGGGGAGTGTGTGATCCTTGTAAATATTAGCCGCGATATAACGCACGTCTAGAAAGAACTTCCCAGGGGTCCAGAATTCGAATCTATCGGAATCATTGAAATAAATCATGACCTCTGTTACAAACGGCTCAACCGAATAGCCAAAATTACTGAGAAGTCCACACAAAATTTGTTTGTCCGCCTGGTTTGGGCGTCTCTTTGCTCCCATTGTTATCCTTCTTTCTGTTTTGGTTTTCCTATAACTTTTAATTCAATATAGTTTTTTCTTACTATATTCCCCTGTCTTGTTCCTATTTTGATGTCTCTTCAGTTGCCATTAATATCTTTTACGTACTCTTGTGTCCTAATTTCTGCTTTTGCATCATTTAGGGTGGTCGCAATAAAATACATTGTACATTGTTACGTTCATGAAGGATCCACCAGTGATGTTGAGGCTATAAATTCAAATACAAAGTGATCAAAAGACATGTCAAAATTCAGAAGCACTAGGCTATAATTCAATTAATTTTGTAATTTTTAAATATCCGATTTCAGAAAAATCGTCAAATACTTGTTGATATTTTGAACCAAGCTACAACTCGAATGATTTGAAAACGTATAAATTGAATAAAATGCACACAAGTGAAGAGCACCTTTAAGTACAAACGCCTGATCAAGCGCTTTGATTCCCAATGTAATTATCTTTCCTTCTTACATTAAATCTATCAGTTTTAAATTGCCACTTTAGGGTTTAACATCTTATTCTGAAGCGATTGTTTTAAAAGCTTTTAAATTTCAGTTACATAAAATAATAATTTGTTCTACTTCAAAAATGCACAGGAAATTTTATTCCAATGATTGTTATTTGCTTCTGAATTAAAGCATCACAATTATCTCTTTTAATACGGATCACCATTGTATACATGTGTTTTCTGGAACACACAGAAATAAATTTCGCACCCCGTAAGTGGTATGACATTCATAACCTGATCAATGACATTTCATTTTATTCATTTTACTGTATATGTAAATTTCCAATTAAATCACATTACGAAATTTCGCCCCCACATCAATCCCACTTTAAAACAAGAAAAAAAGGCTTCCTTCGTAAAAGTAAC